CCCCCCCCACCCCCAATCCCTGCCTTCTTCCTACTCTACGGTCTTTGCTTAACAACTAGTGATCACTTACGTTTGCCAGGGCCTAAGGCGCCCTAGTTAGGCTACAAGATGCATTAACTAGTTGTCATTTAGAGAAACAGTCCATCATAGAATTAAAACAATAGGCCTTTTAAATTATTTCACTGAGCCCTGGCTGGCGTAGCTCAGTGGATTGAGCACGGGCTGCGAACCAAAGCATCGCAGGTTCGATTCCCAGTCAGGGTACATGCCTGGGTTGCAGGCCATGGCCCCCAGCAACCGCACATTGATGTTTCTCTCTCTCTCTCTCTCTCTCTCTCTCTCTCTCTCTCTCTCTCTCTCTCTCTCCCCCTTCTCTTCCCTCTCTAAAAATAAATAAATAAAATGTAAAAAAAATTATTTCATTGAGAGGTACCAACAAGTGTCAATGATAACATTTGATAATTAACACAGAGAATCAGGTCAGTCCTGATTGGTTTCTGTCTATAGATAAAACTGAAATCATGCTGGTTGTAACTATGTGATGTCCAAATAGTTTATAGAATTCAGGGAAAACCTCAGATCGAATGGTTGTTCAGTATTACACTACCCAAACATCCAGATGCCTGGGCGTTTTGTTGCTGCTGCTTGTATTTCCTTTTCTGTTAAAAAAAAATAAAGGAGGGGGGAATTTATACTCCATTACTTCTCATACACTTGCTTGAAAATATGCAATTTAGCCCTGGCTGCCGTAGCTCAGTGGATTGAGTGCGGGCTGCGAACCAAAGTGTCACAGGTTCGATTCCCAGTCAGGGCACATGCCTGGGTTGCAGGCCACGGCCCCCAGCAACTGCACATTGATGTTTCTCTCTCTCTCTTTCTCCCTCCCTTCCCTCTCTAAAATAAATAACTAAAATCTTAAAAAAAAAAAAAAGAAATAACAGTTATCTATGAGGTAGCGTGGCCAGAAATCAGGTCAATGAAACAAACGATCAGGACTGAAAAAGAAACATTATGTTGAAATTGTAAAATAAATATTTGAAAACTCCAAAAAAAAAAAAAAGGCAAAGTAGATCAAGTAACAGGTGAGTCATTTTGTCCCGAAAATGACTATGTACACAGCAGGAGAGCGATGGAAAAATAAATGGTAAAAAAAAAAAGGACAATAAGAAAAGAAAAAAAAAGATCTTGAATCACCCCATTGTTTTCGTTTCATGGTGTCAAATACGCAACCTGGTTGATTGACATATTTTATTTGCTGACTCAGTTTGACCGTTTGGTGCCACACAGCACGGCCAGTTTCTTTCAAGGATGAGAAGAAAGGGACAAAGGCCCATATGAGGATTTCAGGGCAACCAAGTAAATCATGAAACAATCAACTGATCCCAGTAGTGGCAGCTCAGATTTTGTAAGAAAGAACCAAGGATTGGACAATTGCACTAAGCTGCCCTTCGGTGAACCATAAGCGCACCTCATGGGTAAAGACTCACTTTAAGTAGCAAAACAGGTGGGATGTTAGTTAATCTGAAAATGAACCTTGTGCATCATTAGAAAACGCAGGTGAAACACCTATTCGGGTGGAAGGAATGTGACTTATAACGAGTCATGGCTGTTTTAAAATCACCCGTGAGAAAGACACGCCTGTGCATCTTGGTTCTCTCCTGTGGCATCCACGTCTTCAATCTAAAGGGTCGTGACCATACTACGGGGTCTGAAAATAGTTTCCCCGTGTCTAGTCACTTTTGCAAAGCCGTTGAGGATTTCTAGAATTCAGTGGCACTCAAGGAGGGAGCAGCTGGGCCTCAGGAATTCACTTCTGCAGGGAACTGGCAGCAGGGCCAGCGGGCAGGGCCCTGCGTGCCCATACCTCGGGAGGGACCTGCATTTGGCAGGGGAATCAGACTTCTTCAAATACCGAGAGCAGACTCCCCCGAAGGATCCAATTGCCCCTGTTCTACATACTCCACATACTTCTTGCTTCCTGCAGTTGTCATTCAATCTGGGCCTTGCTACAGAGCAAATTTCCCCCTGAAAATATTTTCTGTCTCTTTGATCCTGTCGGTGTGAGCCCTATGTTCAATCCCAATGCCAGAAAAACCAGCTTTGCCGATACGGGTTGGTGTGGACGTGTAGAAAATGATACGAGAACACGTTTATGTGGATGTGTCTGCCTTCTATCCCCATAACGCATGGCCCTTCCACTTTCTCCACTGATGATTCAATTAGCCCTGTGTGAAGCACTCCATTTCTTTAAGAAATGACTATAATGGATCAGTTTGGGAAACATAAGTGCGAAAAGGTAGTTGCTCCTTCATTTTCCTCTAAAAATCTGTTTTCTTGTATCTAAATCAAGAATCATGGTCCTGGCTGGCGTAGCTCAGTGGATTGAGCGCGGGCTGCGAACCAAAGCGTCACAGGTTCGATTCCCAGTCAGGGCACATGCCTGGGTTGCAGGCCACGGCCTCCAGCAACCGCACATTGATGTTTCTCTCTCTCTCTTTTTCTCCCTCCGTTCCCTCTCTAAAAATAAATAAATAAAATCTTAAAAAAAAGAATCGTGATAGTGATTTCTATAAAGTTAAGCACACGCCTTCCCTATGGCCCAGCTATTTTATTCCTAAGTATGCAACCATGACGAATGGAAGCACTGGGCTGCGACATATGACACGGCTTGGAGCAGCTTTATTCACAATAGGGTCCAAAATGGAAACCATCCAAATGCTCATCAGTGGAAGAATGGATAAACAAATTGTGGCATATCCTTACATTGGAATGATAAACAGCAACAGTATTTTTTTTCAAGATTTTATGTATTTATTTTAGGGAGAGGGGAAAGGAAGAAGAGAGGGAGAGAAACATGTTCAAGAGAAACAGATCGGTTGCCTTTCGCATGCCCCCGCCCCCGGCCCCCCGCTCAACTGGAGACCTGGCCCACAACCCAGGCACGTGCCCTGACCAGGAATCGAACTGGTGACCTTTCAGTCTGCAAGCCAGCGCTCAATCCACTGAGCCACACCAGCTAGAGCCACAGTTTTCTTTGTTTTTTGTTGTTTTTTTTTAAAGATTTTATTTATTAATTTATTTTTTTAGAGAGGGAAGGGCGGGAGAAGGAAAGAGAGAGAGAAACATCAATGTGCAGTTGCTGGGGGCCGTGGCCTGCAACCCAGGCATGTGCCCTGGCTGGGAATCGAACCTTTGACACTTTGGTTTGCAGCCCGCACTCAGTCCACTGAGCTACGCCAGCCAAGGCTGTTTCCTGCCTTTTGCAGCTGCTGGTGGCTGCCCACATTCCTGGGCTTGTGGCCCCAATGCTCCAATCTCTACCTCCTTCATCTCATCACCTTCTTCACTTTGCCTGTGTCACACATACCTCTATCTGCCTCCTTCTTATAACGATGCTCAGGACTGCGTTTCGGTTCCACCCAGGTCATGCAAGACCATCTCCCCATCTCAAGACTTTCAGCCCAATCACACCTGCACAGACCATTCTTTTCTTCATGAAGGTAACATTTACGGGCTCCAGGGATTAGGACCTGATATTTTGGGGGGCCATTATTCAGTTTTACTACAGAGGGCCAGCCTCTACCTTGGTCCCGAGGCCTGCAAACAGAGACAAACACTGACCCCTCTCTGCCAGCAGGAAAGATGTAGAAATTAACAGCCGAGCAGAGTCCCACCTCCTCTCTGTACCCCACTCTGCCGAGTTGTATGCACTGTTGGCTTCCTGGTTACAGAATGACTCTGAAGAAGCCCCAGACAGATCTTCCCCAGAGCTGCGGTGGAATGCACCCAAGCAAGGCTCCAGAGCAGTTTCTCACTGCAGAACTGGTGACATTTGGGGCCACATCATTCTTGGTCGGGGGTGGAGGTGCGGGGGGGCGGGGAGTGGCTGTCCGGGGCACTGTAGGATGTTGTGTAACGTCCCGGGTCTCTACCCACCACATGCCGGTAGCACACTTCCCCCCAGCTGTGCCAACCAAACATGGCTCCAAACATTGCCAAACATCCCCTGGGGGGGGCCGAGTTGCCCCCAGCTGAGCACCGGCGCTCTGCAGGGCGGTGGTGGGGCCGCTCTGTAAGTCCCACCGGAGGCTGGGCCGCCTCGCCACTTCCCTCCTCTTCCTCTGTGCCTCCCCAGTGGGTTTTTTTAGGCCTCCCCGGTTCTGAGAACACGGAGCACAACGTGTTCTCAGTCCCATGCAGGAGGGCCCTGTGCAGCTCCATTTCCCGAGACTGGGGAGAGCGGAGGCCCCGCGTGAGGGGCTGAGCTGGTGGGTCGTGGGCTCTTCTCAGACCCGACAGCTCTAGACATGGTTTCCTAGGGGGTCACTGAGAACCTGCCTGACCTCAGCCCCGAGACAAGCTGAACGGCCTCTCGACTTTCTTCCTCTAGGGTCATGAGAGTCAGGAGAAGCTGATGTGTTAGAGATTGGGCTCCCTGAGTCATTCTGTGCTACTTCAGGGCTCTGTTCTTGCCCGTGAACATGGGAGAGCATCTGAGTGGACTAGAGTGACGCGTGGTTGAGAGTGACGGGGTTTGGCATCTGACTGGGGTGGATTCCTCGCTAGCTCCACTCCTTAGAACAACCAATTTAAGCAAGTTATGGAACCTCTCTGCCTCAGTTTCTTCATCTGCAAAATGTGGGTAACAAGAGGATCTCCTTGGTGGGATCATGGTGAGAATGAGAGAAACGGCACATGTAAAGAGGTCAATAAAGAGTCACTCAAAAAAGAAAGAATGAGGCTTATCATATATGCGTCCTCTCTTTCCACAAGACTTAATCATCCTAGCCCTGGCTGGTGTAGCTCAGTGGATTGAGTGCGGGCTGCAAACCAAAGTGTTGCAGGTTCGATTCCCAGTCAGGGCACATGCCTGGGTTGCAGGCCACGGCCCCCAGCAACCACACATGGATGTTTCTCTCTCTCTCTCTCTTTCTCCCTCCCTTCCCTCTCTAAAAATAAATAAATAAAATCTTTAAAGAAAAAAAAAGACTTAATCATCCTTTTCAAGCAATCCTTACGAAACTTCAATGGGTACATTTATTTCCGGGAATCTGCACGTTGGATCTCCTCCACAGCACGCAGAAAATACGATACAACAATACATGTATCATTCTTTCTTCGCTACCCCCATCATCTCGTAAACCACTTCTGGTTCTTCTTGCACAGCACGGCACTAGTGGATTGTTTTCTATGTATTTTCATGCAAACAGTATAAAGCCAGAAGGTACAGTTCAAGCTCATTTTGTGTGTGTGTAAAAAATAAATTTTCTATACCAGCTCCTTTCTTTGCTTTGAAGCTGTTCTATAAGCTCACGGGCAGGCCCCTATGCATAAAGATAAGACTTCTTTTATAACGGGGGAGAGAAACCCTTTCCAAAGCCTTGCTTTTCAAGTGCACATATTATAAATTTAGTTGAATGAAGCAAGAGCACAGCCAAATATGGGCAGAACATGCTGAGAAAACTCGATTGTGATTGGCTCTCCACTCCGCCTCAAAAAGAGAACATTGTGGTTTCAATGTTGTCCCCAGGAAGTCTCGAAATCAACTGAGTGGTTTTTCAAACTCCTTCATCATTTAAACCAGAGCCCAGGTCCGCAGCTATTGGCTGCGGGTGGAGCCAAGCATTAAGTCTGGGCTGACATTTTCAACCCTTGTTTGACAGAACATAATTAGTGGAGAAGCCACACCCCGGTGTCCATGACATTTGAGTCTCAAGAGCTCTCAATCTGGGTGTTGAATTTCAGCCTTCTTGCTTGCCACGCTGCCAATTCGTACTGCCGTGAGCCGACCAGCTGAAACACTGAAAAGCCAGCTACAGTGCAGCTGGTTTGCAGAGCGCCATTGAAAGCCCAGCGCTTGTCAAAGGACGTGCATGGGGTGGCTTCAGCTGGGCCCTCTCAGCGATGGCCTGAGATGATAAAATGCTTTGAAGCTTCCATTCCCACCAAGTGTTTTCAAACACCGGTGTTTGTTGCCAGTCTTGTGTCATTCTGAGCTATCCACAACACAGGTGCTTTTGCTCTTGTGACCAGATCATGAATCTCTCGCACAGCCAGCCCAGGAACTCTGTAACGATGAAGACTTGTTAACACAAGGCCTCTGTAGCTGGCCATCCAGCAGTCCAGGCCCCGACTACACTTCCCTCTCTGTCACTGTCACAAAGTGACACTGTCAGGTCCCGTCTTCCAAACCTTCGATAAACCACAATTCTACCCCAAATATCCCTTGGGAAAGCCAATGTATGTTATTACCCCGGTGGAAGAGCAAACAGTGACGCAGTCAGTTCTGGGCAAAAGCAGAAGGGGAGTAGAATTGGTTCACCTCAAGTTGCCCATCGCCCAGTGTGCACCGAATGACCTCAAAGGTCAACTTATACATTCAATCTCTTTTTTGCAAGAACTGATCACACACGCATGCACCGTCGCTTACTGAAACCTTGAACCCTAATGGGCTACCTGTCCTGAACCTTGACTTGGATAGAAGAGTGTGGGTTTGGGGGACATAAGGGAAATCTTAGATGAAGTAGATGCGTTTTTCATGTTCCAGTGGAGGACATCTTGAGCTAGTCTGTTTGGTAAAGGTCAATATCTTTACCAAAACGGTCCTCGAGAGATCATTTCCTTCTAGAATCACCCTTACTTAGCTCCTCATCTGATCAGTTTTCCTCTGGGATCTTTAAATCGCAGATACGGAGCTGGTCTATGCCTTTCACTCTCACTTAAGACAGTGCACAGCCAGTATCGATTCTCAGTCCCAGGGATCCTTGATAATAAAGAAAACTTTAGCATGGGCTGCGAACCAAAGCGTCGCAGGTTCGATTCCCAGTCAGGGCACATGCCTGGGTTGCAGGCCACAGCCCCCAGCAACTGCACATTGATGTTTCTCTCTCTCTCTTTCTCCCTCCCTTCCCTCTCTAAAAAACAAAAATAAATAAAATCTTTAAAAAAAAGAAAAGAAAACTTTATGTGACTATAAATTGGGATAGCCATTTTTGAAGGGCAGTTTGACGATGTGCATTAACAGCATTAAATGCATTTAGACCTCTTGATCATGAAATTTTTACTTCAAGGACTCTACACTTGGTCAGTATTCAGAGATACAGTCAAATTTATGGATAGAGATGTTTATTACAGTGTTATTTACATGAACAAAAATTGTAGATCTCTGAAATGTCCTCCAACAGTAAATATTAAATATGTAAGGTCTATCTGGGAAAAGGTCCAGCCATTGTTCATATAACAAGAACAGTTTGTGTGTGATCAGTGTAACCTGGCAGCCAAGGAGAGGTGACTGGAATGCGCATGTGTGAACAATAATGACTTCACTGTACTAGTCAGTGGGGGCGGTAGACACTGTTGAGTGAGCACGTGTCCCGTGTGGCCATCACACTCAAAATGACTGAGCAAGTAGAGCAATGAATCTGCAACAAATTTTGCGTTAAACTTGGACATGCCTCCACAGAAACTATTCATATGATTCAGAAGGCCCCAGCTATGGGCAACTGGTGATTGGCAGCTTCATCACAACAACATACCCTCTCATGCATCACGTCTCATGCAGATTTTTTTTGTGAAGCATCAAATGACCCAGGTGACTCAGCCCTGCTACAGCCCAGATTTGGTGCCCTGCGACTTCTGGCTTTTCCCAAAACTAAAATCACCTTTGAAAGGGAAGAGATTTCAGACTCTAGATGAGAATCAGGACAATATGGTGGGGCAGCTGATGGTGATTGGGAGAACTGTGTGAGGTCCCAAGGTGCCTACTTTGAGGGGGACTGAGGCATCATTGCCCTGTGTACAGTGTTTCTTGTATCTTGTGTCTTCTTCAGGAAATGCCTCTCTTTTTCATTGTGCATGGCTGAATATTTTCTGGACAGACCTCATATATGGCATGTTCTTACAAGGGACACAGCTATTAATAACCACGTTGTAGGCAAATGAGGATAATATGGCTAAAATACCACATGATGTAAAAAAAGATAGGAAACAAAACTGCCCCTCCAAAATGACCTAGGTTTGTAAAAGGAGGGACAAGTGTTCATGAAAATACGTGTAGGTGGGCAAAGATAAAGCTAGAAGGAAATATATCAAAATATTAATAGCAACTTTGGCTAGCCCTGGATGGTGTTCATAAGGGTTTTTTTTTTTTAAATCATTGTGCTTTTCTATATTGTGCAAATTCCCTACAGGTATTAAGTATGGGGTTCACAATTAAAAATAAGAAAATGATATCCTTAATGAATTAATGAATAGCATGAAAATGGGAGCAAAGCGATTGTCCAGGCGACACGATGGAGGCTCTTCATTGTCACTCCTGATTCCAACCCCACTGTTCATCAAAGGGGCATTGTGGTGACATCCAGCATGCACTAAGAGAGGGTGAACACAGGCTCGTCCCCCCAGGCACGTGGAGGAGGAGGTGGCTGCTCTCGCATGCTCATTTAGGGACGATGTGCCGGGACCACTCTCCCCACTGAGGGAGAGACGGCAGGTATTCCGGAGCTGAGCACTGGGGAGGGGCAGAGACAGGCTGAGACACACTTCTGCCTTCCGGAAGGAACAAAGGAAATGAGACTGCCTTTGTGGACCTTGGCCTTCTCAGCGCATACTGACGCACGCTCCGGCCAGAGTGCAAGGGCAGGGGGTCGCCTAGAGGACTCAGGGCATAGCCCCGGAGCTCTCTTATCTTCAGGAAATCGCTCACCTTCTGATAAGAACTCAGACCCCACTGGTCACTGGGTGCCCAGGTGCTTGTCCTTAATGGCACTGTGTATGTGTGTCCCGTGTGGTATGCAGGAAGAGAAGCCTCAGCTGTTCCTTAGGGGACACGCTAAGCTAACCTGTGACGTCTGATTGGACCTTACCCAAGACCCCGTTCTCCTCTGAGCCCTCCTATGAGCCTTTGCGGGGTACTGGACTCAGACGGAGAGGCTGCGAGCCTTCTAGCCTCACAAACCAACCGGCCCGTGCAAGTCATCTGCTCCGTCTTCAAGACCCATCCTGCCATCCGGCAGTCGCGTTCCTCTGTCTCAGCTTGATGCCTCCCCGGAAGTCCCCCTGCCGAGCTACACTGCCCTTGCCCTTAGCCTAGAGACGGCCCAACTCCCCGCTGAGGCCCAGGTAAAATGGCTAAGCCAGATCTGCACGGCCACCTCTCTGCTGTCTTGCAGTATCTGCATCCTCATGGAGAGATGTATACACGTAAAGTATTCCTAAACACCTGAAAATGCAAAGTATCAAGTCTTCTCTCCCTAGCTTGGAAATAGCACCAGGGCGAAGAAAGCTGTACCACGTTGTGCAATCCTCCTCATGAGCTTCACGAAACAGGAAGCTTCTGGGGGGTTCTTGCAAGCATGTGATATAGTTGTGGTTTCAGTGTGACAGTTAGGTAGATTTTGCAGGCGGGAACATTCGCATAAGACACCCTTTACGCCTCCTGTAAAACCCTAGAGACAGTTAGATGCGCTCCCTTTCACGCTTTGACAAAAGCCATTCCGTTTCTCACACTGCATTAATTTTTCTCATCGCCACGTCTGAAAGGACCACGCAAAGGACACACACCGGGCCCAGCTGAGGAAAGGCCGGGGTGAACAGGCCTTTCTCAGCTGCTCTTAAATAAGGACCCAGATTGAGCCATTCGCCCTTGAGCAACAATCCGTCAAACTTCTAAAGAGGCCACTTAGAGAAAGAAGACCCCGCTCTACTAATGCAGCTGAGTGAGCCCTTGGGGGGAAAAGACGCTACAAGAGAATGACTTTTAGCTGCCTTCTGTTATTGCTCCGATCTCAATGCCAATCAATGTTATTTACCACTACCCAACAAGCCTTAAGGGAGGGCCTGAGAGAGCCCTAAAATCCCTTCTAAGATACTCAGGAACCACATCCCAGGGGCACCGGGTCCCGTTTTCTCCCTCCAGGGGCAGATGCAATCCACAATTTAGGATGCAGGCTCACAGGCTTTGCAAGCCGATTACACATGCGTTAGGAAGAAACAAAGAACACCGCTTACACCATTTATTTCGAATATAACCACACTGCAAGGCTGCAAGATGATGCATCTTGCACAAGGGCACTGCAGATAGAGGGGAAGGCTTTGTAAATATTTATATATTTCCCCATTGAGGGTTTTACTTTCTTTTTTGTTTTTAACTTTAGACAGAGTTAGCAAAGGAAAGGGAGCAGGTTCTCAAGATCTCAAATGGAAAATCATTTATCTTACCCTCTTTCCGTTTTTCTCCATTCCTCACTCTCAAAGTCCCACATCCTGATAAACAACCCAAGAGACGTTTCTAAAGAGACAGTACTCAATTTTTAAGTTTCCCGCTACAGCCAGGTCGAGGTGCAGCCGCCGGCATGGCATGCCTTCTTAAAACTCACAAATGGCTTCCTAAGCCCGCCTTCTTGTCTTCCTATGGACCTTTCTCGCTAAACTGTGGCTGAGATGACAATGAATACACAAATGAATGAATAAAATGGTTTGGGATTCAACGCCCTTTGCTCTTCTGTCTCATCTAAATTCAAGCTCAGGAGGAGAGAAAAAGGCAAGACGAGGCCGTGGGTGAAGCAAAGACTAGGACCGTTCCCAAAATAACAGAAAGCAGCTGCGGAAGGAATAACCCATAGAGACCAGGACTCTGGGTGGCAGGGTGTGGGCAGGGCACTAAAACTGGCTGAGAAACAAGCAAGCCCTGCCTTCCCCAGGGTCCTCTGGGGCCCCTGCGGGTAGCATCCTTCTCCGCAGGCTGTCTGTACGCTCTGTGGCATGGCTTCCGGCGACAGACTTCCTGTGGAGGAAAAAATGTGTAGTGATTTCTGCACTGTGGCCCTGTGTATTCTCCTGTTTTGGGCTCTCAAGAGCCTGTCAGAAAAGACACTAGACGCTAAAACATCACGCTGCTGGGCAACCTATTTTGCATGCAGATTGACTTGGAAAATTCTAAATTAATGCACATGAACATTCAGGCTGATACTGAGATAGAGGTGCTATTGTGTGAGGGGGGTCTGCAAGGCACATTGGACACAGAAACAGTCTACAATCCTATAACTGCCCAATCCCAACGCTGCAGAG